GGGATGGGGGTGGGTGTGGAAGATGGAGGGGCGGAGTTTGCGGGGTATGTGATAGACAGCGCGCTGGTGGGGGCGATGCAGGACTTGGTGGACGAGGGGGCGCTGGGCGGCGGCGGCGGCGGCGGTGCAGGAGGCCGCGGCAGCAGCGGCGGCGGCGGTGCAGGAGGCGGAAGCGGCGCGGCGGCGGGCGGGCCGCAGGGGCGCCGGAATTGAGGCGGAGCGGGGGTGGCGTGAATGGGAAGGGCATAGCAGGCGGTAAGCGCGTGAGAGGGGAAGTCCGAGGCAGGGCCCTTGGCTATGATTAGGTACCCGCTGTAAAGGTACTGCTCAGACGCATGACGCTCAAGAGGTGTCTCCACAATCTGGAAATTGCATGGTCACACATGCGGAGGGTGGCGGCCCGGCTGGCCGTAATAGAACGCAGGCCATCATTCGGGCGGATAGATGGCACTGTGCATTACAGTGCGCTGGGCAGCAAGTGAAGCGATTGCAAGTAATGGGGAATGCCATCTGCATTAATGGAACGGCAAGACACGCATCAGACAGGTATTACTGAGCGCACGAACTGTGGCCGAGCCTCCCTGCGCAACCCGTGCCGACCCCGCCACAACCACCTGTATCTGGGTAAGCACATGATCCATGCAGGGGCCGCGCCAGAGAAAGCCAGGAAAGCCAGAGAAACGCACACAAAACACGGGTAAGAAAAAGAAAAGAGCAACAGCCACCGAAAAAGAATTCCTTACGCCTCAGCCTTGGCGGCAGCCGCCTCTCCCGCCGCCCCGCTACCATCCGCTGCTGCCTTCTCCTCCTCCTTGTCCTTCGCAGGCGCCGCGGCCGCCGCCGCCGCGGCCGCCCCCGAGTTGGACATCCGCCGCGGCGCCGCGGCCGCCGCTGCGATGACGTCATCGGCCCCGCGGTACAGCGTGATCTCCTGCTGCTTGAAGTACCGCCTGTCCTCCTCGTCCACCAGGACCAAGTTCAGGAAGTACTTCACGCTGAACTTGTTGTGCACGGCGTTGTACGTCGGCGTGAGGTCGTAGGGCGACAGGTACAGCCTGGCGGGTGACACACGCGGGTGACACGCAGGTGACGTTCGGGTGACACGCGGATAACACATGGCTGACATACGCCAGCACGCCAGGTTGCGGCAGGCCCTTGAAGAGCGGCGTGTGTGTCACACAGGCAAGCCAGTGTAGAGCGCGCTCGGTGCCGCCGCAGTTGAGGGCGCGGCTGCTTGAGGTGCTGCCATCGCGGGGCTGAGAGCTGGGGACCCTGCTTCATGGCTGACATGGCACTGGAGCTGCGGCACGCGGGTTCAATCCTTGACCTCAGCAACGGACAGCACTGCTAGCACTTACGCACGCGCGCGCGCACACACACACACACACACATGCACATGCACACACACTTGCACACCCACAGACACACGTGCACCCACACCCACACGACATGCCCAAAACACGCTCGGACCCTCGCCCCCGCGTCGCCCACCGTATGGGTATGCTCTCGCCCCTCACGGGCGCGCCATCCATTATCTCGTACTTGGCTATGGTCTCGCTCTCGTTGTGGGCGCTGGTGCCGGCCCCCGTGGTCTCGCGCCGCCTGATCTCCAGCTCCATGTGCTTTAGCTTGATGCGCACCTGACGGGTATGGGTGCGTGTGTGTAATTGTGTGTGCGTGTGTGTGTGTGCGTGTGTGCATACATATGTGTGTGTGCGTGCATGTGCGAGTGTGGATGTGTGGATGTGTGTAAACGTATCACTGGCATTGGCTGCCTCTCCACCTGTTGTAACCCTCCAATTAAACTATAAGCCCCCCATCCCCCCTACAAAAGCAAGGGCCCCCAAGCATCTCTTCCAGCACCCCCTCCAAACATGCACACACCAGCAGGAAGTAGATCTTGCCCACTACGCAGTCTTTGAGGTGGTACTTGGCCCGGTCGTACTCGAACTCAATGTGCAGGCAGTCCTCAATGCCAACCTCCATCTGAAAGGGGGAGTGGCAGTGGGGTTGGGGGAGATGTGTC